AACGCCAAGAGAGCCCCGCAAGAACCGAGGCCCAGCGCACATCTCCAGCTCCAGCAGAACCACAATCGCTGGGAACTTGAGGTCGAGTGCAGCTTGGCCAATGAGGACCCAGGATAACGAGTCGTAGAACTTCTCGAAGTCCAAGAGCAGGGTCGCCGCCGAGATGCCGAGAGCCACTGCGGACTCATCGAGCAGCGCTCGCAAGAGCCCCGCTCGAAGCGAGCTGCTGCCCGCCACTGCAGTGTCCCAGAAGTCAGAGAGCTCCTTAGTCCAGGTAGACGTAACGCCTGCTCTCACGCGGGACCAAACCTTCGCCGTCTCTGGAAGTAGGCCAATGACCCTTTCTCCTCCTTTGGGTTTAGGTAATAATGCTCCAATAGATGCCAGGATCTGAGCAGGCCAAACTCCATGTTCTTCAATGCTGTTGAGAAGCCTGCAGTAATCACACCGACCTTCAAGTGGGAGCCGTTGGAGGTCCAGAGGTGTGATGGAGTCAACTCCGCAGGCCTTGGTGCCAAGAACCTTGAGAACCTTGTCCACCTGGTCGACACGAACAGGATCTAACTCCTCCTCGCGGCTCTGCGTGTGCAGGCGCTTGAACATGGCGAGGATGTCGGACTGAGAGTCGACTGGGTCGTGCCAGAGTCTTTCCCAGGTGGATCTGGTGTGTTCCATTCTAACAAATGGGTCTCCAACGACGCGCCCATCCACTAAGGGGTCAGCTGAGACCGCCTTGGGTTCCTTCACCAGTGAGTGGAGCAGGCCCGGCTTAGATTTCCAAACCTCCTTGGCCCAGCGGATGAAGGAATGCCGCCTCAAGGTCAAGCATCTTGCCTGCGAACGGCAGGCCAGCTTCTCGGTGAAGTAGGCGAAGTCGTCGCGCTCCAGCTCGGTGGCGCTCGCGAAGGCGCGAGACCAGGAAATCCACCGCTGCTGATTAGCGGCGCCCTCTGAACCTGGACCGAAGAAGTCGGATGGCTCGAAGCTGTTGGCGTCGTTGGTGTAGCGACCAAGGGCTGAGGTGCAAATCGCTAGCTGGCGAGGATCCTTGCCATGGCGTAGGAGAGCCATGATTCTTTGGACCAAGGTGAGTACTGTTCCCCACCATTCTCCAGCTCCATCAGTCATGTGCACTCGCCCTGGAGTAGCTTTGGTCTGCATCCATCGTAAAGAAAATCCAGCTGCGCGTGGAACTCGCAGTCGAGGGTCAAGCTGATGATGAAGTGCGAAGGCACGCTCCACTCCAGCAGACCACCGCGCGTACTGCCTGGTGACGGCACCAAGGCCGAGCACGTTGATCTGACCCAACAACTCAGAATTGACCACGCTGCAACATTGGGAGCTGAGCCCCTCCTTGGAGGGCTGCTCTTCCCACAGGTCTGTAGGTATGTGAAAAGAGACCTGGGACTCAAGATCCAAAGTACTCCCTGATAGATGTAGTGAATCGTAATCTTCCAACAGATCGGGTGGTACGCGGGCCCGTTCTTGCGCTTGCCGTTGGGCTCGAAGGAGAGACCTCTTGCTGCTGGGGTCCGCGGCGAGCTTGGGTCTGGCTACCTTCGGAAACGGTTCAGGTAACATGAGTTTCTGGTACCACCATCTGCGCATGCCGTCGTGGACGTCAACTTGTAAGGCACAATGCGTCTTCCAAGGTACCTGAGGCTGCGAGCGAACTCGGTACCTGGAGGATGTCCCGTTCTTGGCCATGGCGAAGTCGATGAGCGAGCCCTCTTGCCCTTTGTCGCACGTGGTGCTGACATCAGCAGGCAGAAGGAGGGTGCCTCCTATTCTTTCAGGCCAGCCAGAGCCTTCAAAGGACGTCGGGGAGATGTTCCAATCTCCGTAACCAGCCAAGGGTCTGCAAGACCATGAAGAAAGGAGGCTAACGCCACCAACACTTGGCGATTTCTGCCAGAAACTCACAATCCTGGCCATAGATAAACTGATACCAAGACCAGGTTGCCCGACGACATGTGCAAGATCATGGCGGCGAACCCGCGCATAGGATCAGGTTGGCGTGCAGCTTGTGCGTGTTGCCGAACTGCCTGTAGTGACGTGGTGGCCAGATGCTTCTTGGCCATAACCCATTCGCCACCAGAAGAGCCTCCTCGTCCTGTTGGTGTGCTCCCTGTGGCGCAGACCTTCCACCCGTCTTTGTCAAGGTCCACCTCCGTCTTGGAGTGGAACGTGGCGGAGGTGACGTGAGTCTCCACCAGACAATAAACAGAGTAAGGGGCTGTGTTGACATAGCGCTGCGCTTGAGGCCCCCACTCCGTGATGTTACCATAAAGGATCGAGAAATCATTCTCGTCGGTGGTAAGCTTGGAGGGGGCTGGAGCGGCCAAGGCCTGCGCTGCTGGTGCGCCGAGGCCAGCCCCAGCGCAAGGAGGGGCGCTGCTGCAGGCAGCCAGGTCCGCGCTAACCTCTGGTGGGCTGGCGGTGACGCCTGGCGGCGAGGGGCCAACCTCCGCCTCGAACGGCAAGTCCTGGGGGGAGCGGTCGATGACCTCCTCCAGCGCCAGCTCCTCGAACGGGTCCAGCTCGGCGTCGTGCAGGTGCGCCGTGTGCGCGACAGCAGCGCCTTGACCTGGGCCGCTCGGCGAGGCAGGGACAGAGGCCTGCGGTGCCGTAGATGCGCGAGGCGCAGCCCTCGGGGGAGGGCTGTCATTAAGGGCAGCATACGCCAGCCCGCCAAGCGCACCCGTCAGCGAGGCTTGACCCGAGGCGCTCGCAGAAGTGCGAGTGGCCGAAATCCTCGCACTCGGGGATGGCGAAGGACCGCGCGACGCCGAACGCGACGGAGACGAACGTCTCGCCTGCGGGGTTGGTGACGCCGAGCCTGGAGCCGCAGTCGGCGTGCTGCGCACCTCCAACGGTGCTGTAGGCGGATCGCTTCCGAAGGCGCGCTCCTCATCCGCGTCGAGGAAGAACTCGACGGGGTAGGGCCAGGGGCGCCCGCCGTAACAGCATGCCGAAGGAACTCGGCGCGGCGCCCCTAGCTCTGCGCTAGGCTGTGGACGGAGCCCCTGGGGCTGCAGGGGAGGGGGCGGCGCCAGGAGCGGGCTCTGCGAAGGAGGCGGCGGCCTCCTGCTGAGCATTAAGCTCGCCCTGGGCAGACTTGGCCTTGGCTCTGGCCGCGGCGCGCATGGCCTCGGCCCCAGCAGGAGCTCCTGCTGCCGCAGCGGCGCCTGCGGACGCGGCCCCACCAGTAGCAGCAGCAGCAGCGGGGCCAGCAGCAGACCCAGCCGCGTCGCTGCCGTCCACGCGCCTGCGCTTGGCCTCCTCCCTGGCGCGAAGCTTCCGAGCCTCCTCCCGCAGCTCCAGGATGCGCTGCGCCGAGGGTCCAAGGACTTCCTGGACCTTGGTCTGGACGCTGTCGGCCAGCTCCTGCTTGATGCGCTCCCAATCGACGCGCGCCTGCTCGTCGAGCGCCAAGCCCGAGAGGTCGAAAAGCGGCCCGTCCACGATCTGCAGCGAGCCCTCATCAACGAGCGTCGACAGGTTGATCGCCGAAGAAGTGGGTGGCGGCGCTGAAGGCGGCGCCGCTTTGGCCTTGACCTGCTTGGCACAGGCCTTGAAAACCACTGGTGGCATATGCTAGTAATCTTGATTTACTGAGCAGATATACAGTTGACATTCTGGTGGAAAAACGGAACGCCTCACGTCTTAGGGACATTGATGTGTTCGTACGAAGGTGGCAACGATGTCGCTCATGAGCGGTTGCATGCGCAGCACGGAACGCAACCAATCCGGCAATGCAGACACCACAGGCGCGGTGGCAGGTGAAGGCGGGGGGAACAGGCGGACGTAGAGGAGGGGAGGCGGTTGGCGTGGAGGGGAGAGGGGGGAGTGCCAGAGGGGGAGAGGGGGGAAGCGGAGTAAGCGGAGGAGTGAGGGTAGGAAGGGAGGGAGAGGGGTCGTGGGGGAGCGAGGGGAGGAGGGGGGGGGTCGAGGAGCGAGGGGGGGAGGGGGAGGGTCGGCGCGAGCGTGGGAGGATGGGCGAGGAACAGAAGGTAGGAGGGAGGAGGAGGAGGGTCGGGGGGTCTGCGCGGTCAAGAAGCCCCTGCCCTGCCCCAAGAGCGGCGGGGGAGAAGGCAGGCAGGCCGCGGCCTTCTTCGTGAAGATGTCCCCGAAATAAGAGGAAGGAGGGGAGGGGGGCGACGGCGAGCGCGACGGCGACAAAGACGGCGAGAATGAGGAGCACGATGCCGACGACGATGCGAGAGACGACGATCACCACGAGCACGATGAGAAGAACGCGACGACGATGACTAAGGCGACGATGGGGACCGCGACGATGACGCGGAGTGCGAGGACAACGGCGACGATGACGACAGTGCTGACGATGAGGAAGAAGACGCAGAAGAGGACAAGTAAGGGAGATGAGGAGGGCGACGACGAGGTCGATGAGGAGGAGGGAGGAGGAGAACGCTCACTCCTGCACAGAAGCGGACCCTCCCCCACGGGCGCTTCTCGTCTCCCTCTCGCAGCTTGCTCGAGCACGACGCTCGAGCACGTCAGTAGCGACTCGCCTCCTCGACCGTCTCGCCCTTATCTTATCCTATCCCCATGTGTTCCCATCCTCGTCCGCCTCCCCAGTCCTGCCCCCCTCACCTTCATTCCCCCGAGATTCCTACGCTTTCCAACTTAGCATCGTCACTGCTCATATGCCCCATTGCTGAATCCTCCTCACTCGTCGTCCTCCTTCTCATCATCCCACTGTTCATCCATCCTCATCTCCTTGGCCTTGTCGTGCCCAATCTCCCTTCATCTTCATTTGCCATCGTCATCGCCACCATTCATCATTTGTGGTCACTCCCACGGCTTGTACGCAACCGTCGTCATCGTCATCCTCCTCCTCATTCCCCCTACTCCACCCATCACCCCTGTCCCTCCTGCTACTCCTTCCCGCCCCTCCACCCTCATCCCTCCTGCGTCATTCTCTCATCCCTTCTCCTCCTCTTCTGACTCCGCTCGCATGCCAGCTTGGCAGCTGGCGATCAGTCGGCGACGACCGCCTGGTTGAATGCCGTCTTGGCCCACCTCTTCCTGTTCTGGCGGCTCGTCGCCGCGGTCGCTGCCGACGAGGTCGCCACGGAGATGGCGTCGCAATCCTTGAACTTCGACTCCGTAGCTTTGTTGATGGGGTCCCCGAGCAGCGACCTCCTGAGCTCCTCAAGCTTCTCGCGGAGCTTCGAGGGGAGCTCGCCGTGCGAAACTCCTAAGCACGACTGCGTCCACTTGACGGTCTGGTCGTAGTCCGACACGGCGGCCTTGCTGCCGCCGACCACGAGCAAGTGAGCCAGAGCAATGCACGCCGCTAGCTGCGCGGCCTGCCCCAGCGTCTCCTTCGCCGTCGGCAAGGCGGCCTGAAGCTGGATCATAGCCTGGCTCTTGGCGCTCTCCTGCCACTTGATGTTGCCGCACACGTTTTCGACGACCTTGGACGTCGTCGGGAACTGGGCCACTGCAATCGCGATCTGACTCCCCGTGTTCCGATCCTTGGTGTCGGAAGGCTTTGTCAACCAGCCGACCTCCTGGAAATCCCACTTCTCGATCGCATCGTACAGCGCCCCGTACTTCTCCACGAAGTCCAGCTTGAGCGACGAGATGAAGTCCATGGCAGCCTTCGTTTGCTTGAACAAGGTGTCCCACTCCGCCTCCGCGTGCTTCAAGACACGCTCCACGAGTGCGCTGTCGTCACATGCCTCTTTGAAGTCAGCCTTCGCCGTCACGATGTCGGAGAGCAGCGAGTTGAGCTCGACGAGGCCGCTTGAGCGACCAGCTCGTTGACGCTCGTCTGCGTCTGCCACTCGCACCAGCGTCTTGGCAAACGTCAAGACCTCGAGAGAACTCTTGGGGAGCACGTTGGTCTTCGTGTCCAGTATGCCGATCAGCGTCTTCTGCTTATCAGGCGGGAGCGCCAACACCCTGTGTAGCAGCACGCTCCGAAAGCGATCGTCCATGTACAGAGACCCAATGTTGTGCAGGATCAGCAGTGCAGATGGTGCAGTTGGGCAGGTGGTTGGCAACGGTCTCGATCTCAAAGCCAATTTCATCTTGTGCTCAGCTTGCAAGGCCATCGTCCAAACCTCAACCACCTCCTTGCAGTCGGTCTTGCCCTCGCTCTCCCTCGCGTCGTAGAGCTTGGCGGCGACCTCGAAGCGGTGCATGAGGTGGTACACCACGTTCGCGTCCCCCTCGTTCAAGTCAAAGTGCTGCATGATCTTGAAAGCGGTGTGGAACACCCTCAACATCTCGTACTGGTCAGGCTCTTCTTCATCGGGGTTCACTTGCCTGTCCGTCAGAGGCGGCGTATACCCAGATCCCTCATAGATGCCAGTGAACAAATCGTTGAACGACATGGTAAGGTTGACCGCCACGTTGAACAGCTGCAGCGTTCCATCGCAGAACGTGTTGCAGACCTCGAGCATCTCTCCCTTTGCTGGTGACTCAGAATCTTCAGCGACGCCTCTTTGGCTGAAGAAGTCGCCGAAGTTGCATGCCTCGCTGGGCAGTTCGCATACCGCGATCAGTGCTTCGTACGCTTTCTCGGGCTCGCCCACTCGCACCTGATGCGCAAGCTCCCTGGCTCTCTTCACGAACTCGTTCTGGGATGTGTCCTCCTGGTGCTTGGCAGCGGCATCGGTCATCCTGCACATCTCTCCCCATGCTTTCTTGCCATGGGTGGAATGGGAACCCCCCAGGGACTTGAAATTAACCTTCATCCTGGCCGAGACTTTCGCCACGCTGGACACCAACTTCACGATCGAATGGCGAAGCTGGGCTGGGAACACGGGTCCGTGAGCGTCCGCAGCCCTCATGTGGTCGAGAACTTGGGCGACGATTGACATGGCACCCAGGTCCATGGCTGCCTGCGGGGCCAAGCCGTTCACGAAGTCCGCGGAGCCCATGTCCATGCCGAAGATGGAATCGGCCAGCTTCGGGAATACAGTCACGATCTTCTGGCTGATAAGGCCGATCGCGGACTCGTCGGTAATCTTGAAAACGACGTTGCCCAGGGCCAATACGAGTGACGTTTGGAGCTTGGCAGCCTGAGCCTTCGCCCTACCAGCATCGCCGCACTCCAATAAGGTGGACAATGGCAGCGTATTCGAACTCTCGACGGTGAGCGCCGACAGGAGGGTGCCGACGTACTCGGGATTGGTCGGGACTTTGTCGATGAGAGCGTTGAGGTTCAGGGCGAGGATGGTGGACACGAGCTCCATCGGCGCACCCTTGATCATCTCCGAGTGTTCCTGTGAGAGTGGCGCCGAGGCGAAAGCGTAAAACTCGCGAGGCTTGCCGCCGATCTTGTCGAGCAAACCCTGTCTGGCTTCCAATACGTCCGCCATGGCGAAGATCCTGGCGCTGATGTCCAACGCAGCTTAGCTGCCTGCCATGCCCCCTGTAGCCTTGCCAGCACGCTGCAGGCGCGCGATGAACGCCTGGAACTCCTTCTCGCGGTTCCTGAGCTCCCAGTGCCCCCCCCAATGGTACTTCTTCTCCGCGTCCTCCAAGGTAGCCTCGGCCCTGTCGATCGCAGCCAAGGCCCCCGTCCTCCGTGTCTTCTTCATTTGAGATGATGCATTCTCCACCGCTTCGAGAGGCACCTTCTTCTTCAGGGAGGGAGCTGGCGTCGCAGGTGGAACGCTAGTGACCGCCGACCTCGCCGAGGTGGCCTGTGATCTGACAGACTTGTCGTCGGCGAGGGTCTCATCGGCCTCACGACCTGGGTCGACGAGGCTGGCACCTTGGGGAGCGCTGACAAGGCGGTCAGTTGCGGGCCGATGGTCGCCAGCAAGCTCAGAGCCTTGGCTTTGAGTAGAGCTGACCCGTCGGCGGCCGAGCCCCTCCTTCGACGCGACGATATCCTGCCTCTCCCTAGCCGACTGCCCATCATCGTGGCCCTCGGTCTTGACTTTCGTGCTCGCTCTCTCCCTGCCACGCTTGAACCTGTATGCCCCGAACTCCACCCCAGACACGTCGGATACCTCGATGCCAAGAACGCCACAATCGTCCTCCACGACCTCTTTCCCGCGCGCCTCGATCTGCTGGATGAGGTCTTCCTGTGACTCCCACTTCAGGTTCCAGATCCTCGGGGAGGCGCAAGCTACCCTCCCCCCATCCATCCTCGCCTCCATCCTCCACCACCCTTTTCGTCCTCATCGTCACTCATCCTCACTCGCCACATTTGATAAGGGGAACGAGTCCTGCCGACGTACTGGATCGGCTGGAAGATGCCAGAGTCGAAGTCCTGGTTGAACTTCATATCCGACTTCTGCGTGTTGATGGTCAGCCCATCGGTCCTGGCGTGCTTGCCAGTGCCATCTACCAAACCCTTGCGGCAGGTCACGATCTTCTCATCGATGGCAGGATCATTCTTTCGAGTCGCACGGGCATCTGCGAGGGTAACTCTGGTTCCGAGGATCTTCCTCTGAGCCCCGTAACACCCGTAGCACTGGTCGCCCGTCAAAACTTCGCCTTTGGAGGTGTGGTTCCTCTTGTGCCACTTCAGCCATGTCACCTGGCCTTTGGGGCCATCTCGATCCTCGCTGTGTGTCCACTGGCCGCAGTCCTCGCAGAACCTGTTGTCGAAGTCCAGCAGCGGGTTCCTGTCAGCGTCCGACGAGCCCTTGGAGCTCTTGCCCTTCTTGGCCGCGCCCGACTTCTTGGGCGGCATCTCTGCGCTGTGCCGTGCACAGGTCCCCCAATCAAAGCCGAGGCCTCGAAACCGAATCGGGAGGCCTTGAGCCACAAGGGCTAGGAAGGGGCGGAAAGGGAGGAGGAGGTTGACGGTGGAAAGAAACGCTTACTGACTAAGTTTAGCGCCCAAGTTCCGTGCAAACGTTCGTGCCCAGGTTTCGTGCCCCGACCTCCTCTTGCCCCCTCCCCCCGGCCTGCGTCGGGGGTCACCGTTGGGGGCCGACGTGGGCTCTGCACCTCTGCTTTTGAAGTTAGGCACGCGCGAGGGGGGGCGGGCGCTACTGCCGTTTTTGTGCACGGGTCCTGGCTGGAGCATCGCAGCCCCAAGCTTTGCCCCCTGGACTTCTGGAGGGGAGACGGAGGAGGGTGGGCGGAGGGCTCGGGAACAACATGTTGGGCAACATTTGGGGCCCGAAGCACAGGGCCAGGAGGGAGGTGAGGAGGAGGAGTAGGGATAAGGGTGGATGAAGAGGAGCGCCACATCCAGCCGTGTCAGCTCCTGCGGACAACACGATCAATCGGATGAACCCTCCTCCTCCTCCTACTCCTCCTCCTCCGAACGGGCGAAGGCGACGAAATGAAACCGAATGTATGACGACGCGAAGGTCCTTAGCATCGTTGAGCGAAGACGAGATGACATGAAACGAACATTCTCGATATCTGCCTATGCCCACCACGTCGACGCACTGCTGCCCTAAAAGTGCATTGGCCCCCCTGGGACATGGCCCATCTGTGGCTCCCTAGCTCTGCTCGTCCTGGGTGTGCACTGCTGCAGTATGATGTGCCTGTCACCTCTCTGACCTCCTCCTCCTCTCCATCTCTGTTCCTCCTCCCTCATCCTCCTCCTTCGACATTCAAGAGCACCGCTGGGCTCTTCCTCCGAGCTATTATTTTGTAGTTTTGTTATGTTGTTTCACGACAGTATGTTGGCGAGCAACGCTTCCAGTGCACAGTGACGACGCTGCCGCAGTCGCGCCTCGCGAGGGCACTGAGCCGCCTCGGCAACAGGCATGCTCGAATCGGCAGCTCAGCTGCAGCGCACGGGCCCCCCCATGCCGAAACCAACCCTAAGAACAGATAAGAACAATTAAGAACAAACGCTGTTCTTAGGGATGAGACCTAAGAACAAGTAAGAACAACTGGTTGTTCTTAGCCCATGGGGGCCGAAGTGCGTGAGGGGTCGCAAAAAATGAAGGCGGGAGGGGTGTAAGAACAAACTCAGTTCTTAACTGTTCTTAAACCGTTCTTAAACGTGATCTGATCCAGGGGGTTGTTCTTAGGTAGTCGGGCGTGAGCTCCCCAGAATTTCAATCGAAAGTGGCATGCCGTTTCCAATCGGCGCGACGATCGTCGGGGTGAGGGCCACGTGACTTTCCATCGGCTGCGGGGGGGGCCAAAAGTACAAGGTCTGATTGAATTATGATATGTCCTCGGCTGCCTTGCGAAGACTCGGCAAGGCCTCAGCGTCAGCAGAGGCAATTAGCTCGTCGAGCTTTTGCCGATCGTGAGCTCTATTGCCAACCGAACAATCCTTCAAACACCCAACGTGGATATAGCGCTCAGCACATATCTTCGAGCCGGCCTTGAACCGATACTTAAATCTGAAAATGCCCTTGTCGATCTTTGAATCGCACAAGGGGCAAACAGACCGAGCTGAGGGGGACAAGTGGCAGTCCACAAGCCCTAGCACATCTTGATAATGTGGAGCTGGAGGGTCTGGCGGCGGAGGAAGTGAAGGCTCGAGCGGCTCGTCTGGATCATCCTCGCGGGAGGGTGGATGGGGGAAAGGGGCGGACAGGAGGTCGGGGAGGTAAGAGGATGTGGGGATGGGAGAGAAGGAGTAAGCAGGAGAGGGAAGCGGGGGGGATGCGGAGGGCGATGGGGGGGAAGAACGAGGGCGACCCAAACTGATTTGAGAACCCATGGAGTCCTTGTCCAAATCTGAAATCCCTGGAGATGCATCCGATGCACTATCGCCATCTGGCTCCTCCTCCGCCCTCTCCTTCAACGCCTGCTCCTCGTCCGATGCGTCACTGCTGCTGCCCCCCTTGTCGATGTCATTGGTTTGCTTGTCTATCGGCACCTTATTCAAAACCGACGCCTTGACCCCGATGTTGAAAAACGGTACTCTCCACGGACCCGTCGTTGGCTTTTCTTTCGGGCGCTTCATTGCGTGGTTCAGAGGGACGTGCTGATCAAAATTAGGTTCTAAAGTTGCGATGTATTCATTCAGGTCGCTCCTACCTACATGTTTATGGAAGTGCACTGCGACCGATTGGACTGCCCCATGGCCCACGCCAGTGGCACCACCCACATCGACCAAGAATTTTCGCACTGCGCCGAATCCGAGGAGAGCTCGAAACGGAGTTTCGATCCCCAACACCTCTGAGCCATTGTAAATTCCGATGTTGGCGGGAATCAATCACGAACTCACCTCTGTTGTGAACCCTCGTCAGATAGAAATATCTCGGAGGAACACCATCTGCTCTCAAGCTGATGACATATGGAAACACTAGCACATCCTTCTTCCCAACTTTTTTGTTTTCAGGCGGGGTTGATTCGCCTTCGTGACTGCATACAGGTTTTTACTGAAATCAACGGTAGCTTGCAACAGAGGGCCCTTGCAACACACGCCACCGTATCGAACTGAACATGGCTGAAAGCAGCGGGGCACAACGGCTGGGTTGGGCGTGGCGGCCTGGTCGGTCTCCGCAGCGCTGTTCGCGCTCGCGGCCATCGCCGAGTGCGAGCCGTCCAGGATCTTCTCGCTCCTCAGGCCCGCGTCGAAGGAGTGCAGCTGCGAAGCACCTCCCCTCACCAATTCAGCGTCATCCTCCTCCTCCTCCTCCTCCTCCCCTTCCTCCTCCTCCTACCCTCCTCGCGGGGGTCACCTCCTCCCCCTCCCCCACCACCCCCACGCCCGTGCGCCAGAACACGGGGGCACTCTGGCGCGAGTGGCGTTGGGGGGTCTGAGGAGGAGGGGGCATGCACCTAAGAACGTAGTCCTTGCCAGCAGCCTTCGCCAACATGGAGATGTGTGTTGAAGGAGGTAGATCTACGACCGTCTCCTCCTCCTCCTCTTCCTCCTCTTCCTACCCTTGCTGCTGCTGCCCCCCCTCCACCCCTTCTCTTCCTCCTCCCTGGATGGGGCGCGCAGGCCAATCGGGGCTGAGAGGGGCGGCCGCCTCTCTTAACCACCCATGAGAGGGGGGACAGCTTCTTCAGAACGTTATGGGGCGCGCTAGCCCACGGACTCACCGCGACAATTGCCCTCTACACACCATAACTAGACATGGTTGCCCCGAGCTAGAGCTCGCCGCCGTGACGCGCGGGCTACCGACCTAGAACGGCGATTCCGTTAGCGTTTCTGCACGCACGGAACAATCCCGAAACTCGCCAGATTAGGTCAGACCAGCTTGATACACCATTGCTAATACATACATGCTCACACTGAAGGCGCGACGATGCATGACAGGGGTACGGATCGGGGGCGGGAGGAGAGAGGGCACGGAACAACGAGCGCCATGGCCTTGACGCGGAGGGCGAAGGTGAGGACGAGGAGGAGGCGGGGGGTGACGAGGCGAGGGAAAGGCGAACAACACAATTGCACCCCACCCTGCATTCCCCGCGCACCAGCCCAAGCATCGTG